TGTGTGGATTAACCAGCAGATTTCCCCCGTGTGATAACATCCTGAGAGAGCGTGACTTGCCCAAGGTGGGTTTTCATGGCCAAGCAGGGATTCGAACCTTGCTCTCTAGGGTCATAGTCCAACACTCAAACCATTACACCAGGTTGGCTTCTGCTGTGCTTGCGTATGTGCCTTCAAGCTGACCTATGGTGACTCTATGAATTCCATAAGGTGTTGCCCTACCACTATCTAGGGCTGCTGTTCACCTCCTTGGGCTTTTTCCTCCACCTACAATGGTGAAATGCTGAGTGTGGGATAACCGGAATGACAGGGTGACAGATAGAAGGGTTACACCGGGTGATAGGAGAGCAGCCGGTGGAGATTACAGAGGCTGCAAAGAAGCACTCACTCCAGTGGCAGGCTTCCTCACATGTATAATTAAGAGATAATGCCGATGTGCTAGAACATTATCACAGCATAATGGTCTCCTGCTGCTACATAAATTCCAAGGCAACGGAGAGGCATTTATTTTCAAAATGGGAAACATAACATTGACCCCCATGACAATGCACTCTTACAATTACTTTAATTGTGTTAGGCCATTGACTGATGTACTTGAGCATGTATCATTTTGTCTGATGGATGCCGGGAGCATTCCAATGGTAGTCATGCATTATTGAACAGTGTTTTCCCAGCTGGCTTAGGGAATAACGCCACGCTCCTAAAAAATGGTCAAGAGCACAGCAGCATGATCTACAAAAACTCACCGGATGGGAAGCCCAACAGACAAAGGAACCCATGGTGAACCCCTAAAACAGGCTTCCCCAACCCCTTGCCCTTCAGGCATACCGCACCACAACCACCATCACCCCCAGATCATGCAACAAATGTCTATGCTGATCTGACCCTCTTGGCCTTAGAAAAATTGCTTTCGATGGAGAACACCCTCCTCTGCCCGATTCTCCCAGCCAGTATGGCTGCTGGCTATGTAAGGTGAGGGATTCTGGGAGTTGTAGTCTGAAAAAGCTCTGCGAGGAACGTGAGCTCTGTTTTGATTCAGGGGAGGAGCAATAGGGCTGTGAGGGCAAGGTTTTAGGATAAATATCCAGTGACCCATCAATGGAAACAGAGCCGGAGCAGCCTCCAAAAGGCTTACTCGCATTTCCAAGTGATGTTGACTGATATCCTATACACACATTTGTGTAAGTCATTTGATCTCTATCGAGTCAGAATTCTCTATCGACAGCAAACAGTGACCACATTTTAGGATGGGAAAACCCAGCTTATGATCACAACTTCTGAATCCATAGGGAATATGAGCAATCTGCACAATCGGCACCCACAATAAGCCAACACCAGCAGCGCTGTTGTGCAAAAAGTAATTTTTCCCAGCCCTGGACAAAAACAACAAGAAATGAATAATTTGTCTATCATGCTCCACTTGTAAACTTCCAAGACCTGGCCACTGTAGAGATGGACAAATAATCCTAGTTAAAGGCAGATATCCTTCCAGCTCTCTTGAAAGATGCAGAGGGTCTGATTTGGGACTAGTTGGCTGAGATCCGACATTGTGCTTGCAGAATGTAACCCTACACTTACGTAGCCGCAGGGTGGTTGGACTAAACTGCCCTTCTGCTCAATACTGACATTGTGCAATTGATCATATATCTGTGCAATTGATCTGCTTATTGTTCACTGTGCAATAGGGAATGCACAGTTGTTTTTGCAATCCCATTTAATAAAGTAGTACATGGGAAGGTATTAATGAACAGCTAAGCACATTTCAAGAATGCTCAAGAATTGCTGGGATCCTGCTGATAAATCCCAACTAGAATGGACTGATTTTTATCAACCATTGACACATGAGTTCAACAAGTAGGTAATGCCAGTAAGTCAATGGCCCTCCTCTAGTTGGAACTAATAAGTCAGGGGTAGGCAACCTAAGGCCTGGGGGCCGGATGCGGCCCCCCGAGGCATTTGGACCTTGGGGTTTTCTTGGCAAAATCTCTACAAGGGTTTTGCCATGGCTTTTCTGGGGCTGAGAGAGTGTGCATGCATATTTTTTTAATCTTTTAATTTTTTTTTAAAAAATGATATTTATTTATTTATTTATTTATTTTTGGTGCTTCGGCCCCCCAATTGTCTGAGGGACAGCAACCCAGCCCCCGGCTCAAAAAGGTTGCCTACCCCTGTAATAAGTTGATTTAGGCCCATATGAAATGACTGAACTTGTGCAACTCCACCTATGCAACCATAAACTGAACAGGTCCACTCCCCAGGGGCCAAAAAAGCACAACTGTGT